GGGGGAAACCAGTAGGTGTGTATTTGGATTTCCGGAAGGCATTCGACAAAGTGCCACATAAAAGGATGTTGCATAAGATTAGAGCCCATGGAATTAAAGGTAATATATTAGCATGGATTGGAGAGTGGCTAACAGGAAGAAAACAGAGTAGGGATAAACGGATCCTTCTCAGATTGGCAGGATGTGACTAATGGAGTGCCACAAGGATCAGTGCTTGGGCCTCAATTATTTACAGTCTATATCAATGATTTAGATGAGGAAATCAAACTTAACATATCTATTTGGCTTATAATATGAAGGTAGGTGGGGGAATAAGCTGTGAGGATGACACACAAGGAATGCAAAGGGAAATAGACAGGCTAGGTGAGTGGGCAAGAAGGTGGCAGATGGAGTATAACATGGGTAAAGTGTAAAGTTATTCACCTAGGTAATAAAAATAGAAAAGCAGATTATTTTCTAGAGGGGGAGAGACTAGGTAGTGCTAGCGTTCAAAGGCATTTGGGTGTCCTTGTACACCAGTCACAAAAAGTTAGTATGCAGGTACAGCAAGCAACTAGGAAGACTAAAGCCATGTTGGCATTCATTGCAAAAGGGTTAGAGTACAAGAGTAGGGAAGTCTTGCTGCAGTTGTATAAGGCCTTAGTGAGACCGCACCTAGAATATAGTGTGCAGTTTTGATCCCCTAATTTAAGAAAGGACATTCTCGTCTTAGAGGGAGTGCAGCGTAGATTCACTAGGTTGGTTCCTGGGATGAGGGAGTTGACCTATGAGGAGAGGTTGAGTAAACTTGGCCTATGTTCTCTAGAATATAGAAGAATTAGAGGTGATCTTATAGAAATGTATAAGATTCTTAAGGGTCTTGACAGAGTAGATGGTGTGAGACTGTTTCCCCGGTTGAAGAATCTAAAGCGAGGGGTCATAGTCTCAAGATTAAGGGTCAGCCTTTTCGAACTGAGTTGAGGAAACATTTCTTCACTCAGAGGGTAGTGAATTTGTGGAATTCTCTACCCCAGAGGCTGTGGATGCTCAGTCATTGAACATATTCAAGACTGAGGTTGATAGATTTCTAAACGATAGAGGGATTAATGGATATGGGGATAGGGCGGGTAAATGGAATTATGTTAGATCAGCCATGATCTTATTAAATGGCGGAGCAGGCTCGAGGGGCCGAATGGCCTACTCCTGCTCCTACATCTTATGGTCTTATGGTTACCAAAAGGGAGCATTGAAGAGGAGGGGACCAAGAACAGAGCCCTGAGGAACACCGCACAAGACAATGTTGGGACTAGAGGAGAAACCGTTTGTGGTGATGAAGTGCAGGCGGTGTGAGAGGTAGATCTGAACCAGTCAAGGACAGAGCTGTGAAGGTTGAGATGAGCGGAGAAGCGGTGGATGAGAATAGAGTGATCGACGGTGTAAGTTAGACCCTTAGATACCATTTGCACAGCTGAGCACAAGTATGTTATACACATTTGTAGGGATGTAATTACACAGCTTTGTAGTCCAGGAGAAGATGAGGTACACAGCAGTGTACTTGGGACGTCCTCCTGACGTGAAAGGCGCTTTATAAATGGAATCTTGTTGTTGTTGTTGTTTGTGTGAGTTTCCATTAGAAAACAGTCACACCTGTGTAAACTGGCCACAGATAATTCACATACATGGCCTCTTACCTTGGAGCAGGTGGTGTTGGGAGATGCTACCACCTTTTTTCTGGATTTTCTTAAAGAAGATTGCGATGTGGGAGATCTTATTGCCCATCGCAGGATCCCATGCGGGGAAAACCTCTCTAGTACCTGTTACTCGCTCACTCTCTCTTATCATCTCTTGCTCTCTGTGTCCTGTCTGTGTGTCAGCATCTGCCCTCTCTGCTGTGTTACATGTGTGTCTGTCTCACTGCTGTGTCCCTGACTGTCAGTGCTGCTGCCGAGCGCTTCCCTATCTCTGGTTCCCACTCCCGCTGTCCTTCCCTCTCTCCTTCCCTTTAATTTACCTTTCTCTTACTTCCCCCTTTTCACTTTCCTTTCCCCACTGTCTCTCTATCTCTCGGTCTCTCTCTCCGCTGCTATAGAGACCCCGGGGGTCATTATTAAGCCTCACTCCGTCACTGGGACAGACACAGTGTCACTGAAGGAGAGTTTACAAACCGACATCGCATCACAAGGTCAGACGGGGATTAACGCGGTGTAAAGACTCAGCGCGTTACACGCGGCGCGAGGGAGCGGTATCCCGGGATATTTCTCTTTCCCGGGAAAGTCCAGTCTTGGCCACAACATTCCCGGGATGGATCCCAGTCTGTACACAAGGTTTCCGTAAATAACACAGAGATAATTTAACTCAACCATTACTTCAGCCCATGAATTGGATTAATAAACAGATACACGCGGTTTGCGGGATGTGCCGCCACAGGAGACATTTAGTGCTGTTTCCTCACAGATAACAGCTATGGCTCAGCCTGTGGGAGGGAGGACACACTCAGCCGCCTAATTCTGGAGAGTATTAGGCGCAGGTTGGTGAGAGCCAAGGCTTGAGGGCCCCCAGAGTTTGTTTGGGTCACTGCTGGAGTCTAACCTAGTGATTCGGTGGAGTCCTGTAGCTCAGTGGTTAGATCACTTACCTCCAAGCGAGAGACCTGGGTTTGATTCCCGGGCAGAGAGAAACCTTGGGCAGGTTTCCTTACTCCACACACCTAATAATAATCCCTCAAGAAAAAACCCCAGTAAAATTGGCCACTTCATTCCATGACTGTTTGTGGGGACGCTGCTGTGTGCAATTGGCTGCTGCATTTCGCCCACAAATATACAGTGAATTCACTTTACTGTATAAAGCAAAACACCAAATACTGCAGATGCTGGAAATCTGAAACGAACAAGAGTGGCCGGGAACACTCAGCAGGTCAGGCAGCATCTATGGAGAAAGGAAAGTGAGTCAACATTTTGGGTCCATGAGCCTTCCATCAGAACCAGTTCTGACGAAGGGCGTAGACCTGAAACATTGACTCACTTTCCTTTCTCCATAGATGCTGCCTGACCTGCTGAGTGTTTCCAGTGACTTCGGTTTTTGTTTCACTTCACAGTATATTCTGTGATGTGCTTTGAGACGTCTTGAAGACATGTTAAGGCACTATATCAATTGCAAGGATTATTATTATAATGCCAGGGCCCAACCCTTTGGAGAGCATAAGGGAGGGAGGGAATGAGGAGCTTTGAAACACTGTCACACCCCCCCCTCCCTACTTGACAGTAGAGAGAATATGGGGGGTGTTGACTGCACAGCCCAGCCTGGCTCATCGGCAGAACCTGGAAGGACAGACCAGTCATTGGGGGCAGGGAATCCTCCCACTCAGCTCCTGACGCTGCAAGTCAAAGCCCTAAGGGGTAGGGTGGTCCTAGGTGGACAAGCAGTAGGAAAGCTTGCCAGACAGAAATATCAATGGCCAGGCTATGGTGGTTTTAGATGGTTAGACTCCAGCAGTTACCCCTAATGGACACTCTGGGGTCCCCAAGTCTTGGCTATTGCCAACCTGCACCTAATATTTTCCAGAATAAGTAAGCAGGATGCATCCCTCCAGGGAGAGTGTCCATACTATTCCAACGATCTGTCTCTGGGATTTCCATGTGCAGGTAAGATGCATGGAAATCTCAGCTTTGTTTGGATACTCTTAAGCATGTGTCAGACACCCACTTGACCAAAATAAAACTGAGTGAGGACCTCCTGTTCCTCTCTTCACAGCAAACGGGTTTATTGTATCAAACCACATCACTTTACTCACTGTTTATTATTTGAGATGAGTGTGCTAGTAATCTTTGATTTTTTGTAGCTCAGTGGTTAGAGCACTCGCTTTGCACGTGAGACACCTGGGTTCTATTCGAGGCAGGGCGAAACCTTGGGCAAGTTTCCTTACTCCTCACACCTAATAATAATCCCTCCAAAACAATAATAAATTGGTCATTTTCAATCCACGACTCTTTGTGGGACACTGCTGTGCGCAATTGGCTGCCATCTTTCACCCACAGATGTATGTTCAATTCGCTTTACAGCATATTCTGTGAAGTGCTATATCAAATGCAAGTATTATTATTGTCATTCACGCAGGGTAGCATCTCCAATCTTATTGGTGCTTTCCCAATTTGCTGATGGAGCAACGTTCCAGGATCGTAATCTTGCTTGGAGAATTGCTGGAGACTGACCAGTTATATTGGAAAGGCCACTGTGTTTAGTAGTACTCCTGCCCACTGGAGCATTTGGTGGTCATCCTTTAATGTTTATCTATACCTAAATATAATCCTCCAAAAAAAAACAATAATAAATTGGTCATTTTCAATCTACGACTGTTTGTGGGACATTGCTGTGCGCAATTGGCTGCCGCGTTCGCCCACAAATATACAGTCAATTCACTTTACAGTGTGTTCTGTGAAGCACTTTGGGACGTCCTCCGACGTGAAAAGCACTATATCAAATGCAAGGATTATTATTATTATTATTATTTCTGGGCAAAGTGAAGCCGCTTTCGTGTTTGTGTGAGTTTACAACAACTTGCCCTGATGTGCTTTGAGATGTCCTGACATGAAAGGTGCGATGTAAATGGTATTTATAAAGGCCCTTCCAGGGAAGCATCTCGGAATGCCGAATGGGACCAGTGACTGATCCCCGTCCCGGAGCCGTCACAGAGACTGACTGTGTATTTTGTGGGCAAAACGCGGCAGCCAATGGCTCAGAGCCGTGTCCGGCCCGCGGGACGGATTGGGATTGGGATTGATGGGGAATGTCTCCGAGGCTGTTTGTGGAGCGAAGGGCTCTGGGAATGGAAGTGCAGAACAGCGGCCGAGGCCCAGCGAGCGTTGGGAACGCGCATGCGCGGTGGCTACACCATCAGCCAGTTCTGAGACCGAAGGCTGCGTGTCCCCGCTCTGCGCAGGCGTACCGTGGGGGCTGCTGGGAGTTGTAGTGCTATACACACATAGACGACTACATGTCCCAGCGGGCGGCGCGGCTGCGAGGCCGCGGGAGGGCGACGCTGTGCGGGAGGAGCGCGCGGAGCGATGTCGCGATCCGAGGAGGAGGAGAGCGGCGGCGGCGCGAGGGCGACCCGGACCGGGAGCGGCACCGGGAGCGGCACCAGGCCCAGGGCCCCCCCGGCCACCGGCGTCCTCACTCCCGGCAGCTACACCAGCAACAGCGACCCCGAGACCTGGCGGGAAGGCGACTGTGATCGTCAGCGAGAGGTGAGGGCTCCTCACAGCCCCCACACAGCCCCCCCCCCACACACAGCCCCCCCCCACACACACAGCCCCCCCACACACAGCCCCCCCCCCCACACACACAGCCCCCCCCCACACACACAGCCCCCCCACACACACAGCCCCCCCCCCACACACAGCCCCCCCCCACACACAGCCCCCCCCCCCCACACACACAGCCCCCCCCCACACACACAGCCCCCCCCCCCACACAGCCCCCCCCCACACACAGCCCCCCCCACACACAGCCCCCCCCACACACACAGCCCCCCCCACACCACACAGCCCCCCCACACACACCCCCCCACACACAGCCCCCCCACACACAGCCCCCCCCCCCCACACACAGCCCCCCCCACACAGCCCCCCCCCCCACACAGCCCCCCCCCACACAGCCCCCCCCCACACACACAGCCCCCCCCCCACACACAGCCCCCCCCACACACACAGCCCCCCCCCACACAGCCCCCACACACAGCCCCCCCCCACACACAGCCCCCCCCACACACACACAGCCCCCCCCCCACACACAGCCCCCCCCCACACAGCCCCCCCCCACACACAGCCCCCCCCACACACACAGCCCCCCCCACACACCCCCCCCACACAGCCCCCCCCACACACAGCCCCCCCCCACACACAGCCCCCCCCCACACACAGCCCCCCCCACACACAGCCCCCCCCACACACAGCCCCCCCCACACAGCCCCCACAGCCCCCCCCCCACACACAGCCCCCCCCACACACAGCCCCCCCCACACAGCCCCCCCACACACAGCCCCCCCCACACACAGCCCCCCCCCACACAGCCCCCACAGCCCCCCCCCCACACACACACAGCCCCCCCACACACACACAGCCCCCCCACACAGCCCCCACAGCCCCCCCCCCACACACAGCCCCCCCCACACACACACAGCCCCCCACACACACAGCCCCCCCCACACACAGCCCCCCCACACAGCCCCCCCACACAGCCCCCCCACACAGCCCCCACAACCAGCCCCCCCACACACACAGCCCACACACAGCCCCCCCCCCACAGCCCCCCCACACAGCCCCCCCACACACAGCCCCCCACACACAGCCCCCCCACACACAGCCCCCCCCACACAGCCCCCCCCCACACAGCCCCCCCCACACACAGCCCCCCCCACACACAGCCCCCCCCACACACAGCCCCCCCCACACACAGCCCCCCCCACACACAGCCCCCCCACACACAGCCCCCCACACACAGCCCCCCCCACACACAGCCCCCACAGCCCCCCCCCACACACACCCCCCCCACAGCCCCCACAGCCCCCCACACACAGCCCCCCCCACACAGCCCCCCCCCCACACAGCCCCCCCACACACAGCCCCCCCACACACAGCCCCCCCACACACAGCCCCCCCACACACAGCCCCCCCCACACACAGCCCCCCACACACAGCCCCCCCCCACACACACCCCACAGCCCCCCCCACACACCCCCCCCACACACAGCCCCCCCCACACACAGCCCCCCCCCCACACAGCCCCCCCACACACACAGCCCCCACAGCCCCCCCCACACACACAGCCCCCCCCACACAGCCCCCCCCACACACAACCCCCCACACACACAGCCCCCCCACACACACACAGCCCCCCCCACACAGCCCCCCCACACACAGCCCCCCCCACACAGCCCCCCCCCCACACAGCCCCCCCACACAGCCCCCCCCCCACACAGCCCCCCCACACACAGCCCCCCCCACACACAGCCCCCCCCCACACAGCCCCCCCCCACACAGCCCCCCCACACAGCCCCCCCCCACACAGCCCCCCCCCACACACAGCCCCCCCCACACACAGCCCCCCCCACACAGCCCCCCCCACACACACAGCCCCCCCCACACACACACAGCCCCCCCACACACAGCCCCCCCCACACACCCCCCACACACAGCCCCCCCCCCACACAGCCCCCCCCCACACAGCCCCCCCCCACACAGCCCCCCCACACCCCCCCACACACAGCCCCCCCCACACACAGCCCCCCCCACACACAGCCCCCCCCACACACACACAGCCCCCCCCCACACACACACAGCCCCCCCACACACAGCCCCCACAGCCCCCCCACACACACAGCCCCCACCCAGCGCCCCCCACCCTTTCAGCTCCCCTTCACCTCAGTTCCTCCCCCACACAGGTCGCACCTTCTTCCCACTCAGCTCTGCTGCTAATCTCTGACTGTCCACCCAAACCCTAACCTCCGCAGTGTGAACGGCGCTGTACCACACGGCTTCTTGTTGTTTTATTGGTTTCCTTTTATTGATTCTCTATTCTTCCGAGTCTCGCCATCGTCCCTTTCCTGTTACATACAGATTTCAGTGTCTGATGTACCCAGAAACTGGCCTCTCATTCCCAAACCAGCGTTTGATTCTCAACTGCTCCTCATAGTCCGGCACTGGCAAAGATTGCACATTGCCCACTTGCGCCTCATTTCACACTGAACGCTGCTGAAACCCTCATTTGCGGCTTTGTTACCTCCTGACGAGACTTTCCTGATGGATTCCTTGCTGGGCTCTATCCACGAGCTGCAGCTGAACTGAGATTGCACCGCCTATATCCTCATTCGCACAAACTGCGTGCCCAGCATTCCAGAGGTTGCTTCAAGGTCCACACACACCTATAAATGCTTTTTTGCCCCAACTATCTCTGTGATCTTCTCCACCACTCCTTGCTTGCCCCTTCCTTCGACTAACTCGGTCTGTGTCCTCACTTCACCACCACAAGTGGCTGATCTTTCAGGTACTACACCCAGTCTCTGGAACTCGCTCTACTCCTCCGTCTCGCTTCCCCCTCTGTATTTCTCTCTCTCTCTCTCTCTCTCCATCTTTAAGCTCTCTCCCCGAAGCTCCGGAACCACTCTCACTCAATTCCTCCTCCTTGTCCCTCTCTCCCCTTTTTCAAGTTCCGCCTGAAAACCTTTCTTTTCGACCGTGCTTGCGGCCCCCTCCCCCCATCCCCCAACCCTGGCTCAGAGTCAGGCCGCCACTGTTAAGCACTCTTTGATACTACCCTGCGTGGAAGGCGCTATGTAAGTGCAAGTTGTTGTTGTTTAAATCTAAAATCTACCTCTTTGACCACCCTTACGGTGACCGCTTCCTTGCTCTGCATTGGACCCAGTCTTTATGAAACGCTCCAATATGGTATCCTACATGAAGGGGGCTGTATTGGGGCGAGTTGTTTAATCTCGTTATGGTTACTTTCCCCTACACCAGATTGCTAACTATTTCTGGCTTATTACTCATACCTAAGTCAGTTGTGGCCTGAACATCATGTACTGCACATCTTCTATCAGATTGACATGTTAGAATGTCTATAAAAAACTCCAGTGTTTTCCTTTCTTCCCTCCCCTGAAGTTCTGTCCAGCGTGATTCCACCAGCTGATCACATGAAGGAGAAGGGGATAGAGGAGTACGGGGAGACAAGAGCGGAGATTAGGAGAGATTCCAATAAAGTATCCGATACTTGCGAGTGAGACTTCTCCAGAAGTTGGTATAACAACAACAAATTGCATTTATATTGTGTCCTTCACTTTGGGTGATGTCTCAGAGCATTTCACATTGATACGGTCAGTCATTGAGAAAGTGGAGGAAGCCATAGTGTAATGATCAAAGAGATAGGTTTAAGGTTAGAGTTAAAGCCAGATTGACAGGGGGCAAGATGGAGGGATTGAGGGAGGCAGTTTTAGAGTTTAGTAACTGAAGACTCAGCTACCAATGGTGACGCGGAGGGGGTGAGGGATGGGGAGCAAACCTGCATTAGCCTAGCGAAGAGGGTGAGCAGAGGATTAGGGCTGGACAAGATCATCACAATAGGGAGGTGCTAGGGCTTGAAGTGGTTTATATGTGATGGTGAGGTCTTTGAAGTTGATCCATTGGGAGACGGTGAAGCCTGATGCAGACTGAGGTGATGGGCATGGAGTTTGTGTGCGGATTCAGGTGACAGAAGTTTTAGATAACAGAACGTATAGATGTGCAACTGGGAGACTGTTGGGACAGGAGGTAACGAAAGTGGGAATGAGGATTTCAGCGGCAATTGGTGCGAGATAGGGGAAGGGTGTAGGTGGCCATCTTGTTTTGCCTGCTTGCTTTCACTTTCTTCATTCCCACCTTTTGCTTAATCTCTCGAAAGTTCCTACCAGATTCAGCTTGGCTCAGTTGCTCGCTCTCTCATCACTGGGCCAGAGAGTTGGGTGTTCAAGTCCCATGATGGGACTTTGAGCTCACAGTCCAGTATATGCTGGGGGAGTGCTTGTCGGAGATGCCGTCTATTAAACCTAGGTCCCATTCGCCTGTTCAGGTGCACATTGAAGATCCCAAGTCGTGAATCAAAAAGAGCAGAATTCTCCAAATGAATTGGTCATCCACCTCACTGTTGTATGTGGGTACAGTGGCTGCTGATTTTTGCTTTGAGATGCAGTTACTTTGCTTGACAATAATTGACTGTGGGCTCAAAGTCCTCCAACTCTGGCCCAGTGATGAGAGAGTGAGCAACTGAGACAAGCTGAATCTGGTAGGAACTTTCCAGAGATGAAGCAAGATGGTAATTATTGTCAAGTGAAGGATTACCTGCATTTCCCCTTGTTTTCTTTGTTCCTGTGGGAACGGCAGGAATTTCCTGCCTCCTTCACTAGGATTCTGAGTTGTAAGATGGAGCTGCTGCTGTGTGAGATGTCTACTCTGAGCTGCTGATTGAGAGAGTTGTATTTTCAGCAGAGTGTGTGTCTGGCTGACGTGAACCCATACATCCTCTGTCCAATCTGTGGAGGTTACTTCATTGATGCAACTACCATCACGGAATGCTTACACACATGTGAGTACTGTTACTGTAGAACACACTGCCACATAAAGGCATCCGCTGGGGTTTCCCTCGCTCCCTTCCAACCGAAAGGCTGCTGTCTGCTGCTCACACAATGTTACACAGAAATAGGCATTTGCCCATCCTCTCCACCTGAGTCACCCAGTCAATCCTACTCTCCTGTTCGCTCCCCAAACTCTTCATTTTGATGGACTCTGCCAGTACTACGGTTTGAGATGCTCCACATTCCCACCACACTGAGTTCAAAGACTTTTGTTTAACCTTTGTCTTTAATTGTGTTTGTGATTATCCTGTGATGATCGTGCGTGCGCTCTGGCTAGAGGAATGAATACTTTATTATGATGATCCTGATTGTAACCTGTTAGAACATTGCTCACCTATGTCAGGCCAACCCTGAGCCTCTAGAGTGTATGCCACAGCTGAGACTGACAGGATATTCCTTTAGCTGTTATTTGTTCTTGCCTGTTCAATACTGAGCTCTGTTCACGGAGGACTTTCTTGTTGCCTCCCTCAGTCTGTAAGAGCTGCATTGTGAAACACTTTGACTACAGCAATCGGTGCCCGAAGTGCAACCTAACTGTGCACCAGACATGGCCGCTCTATAACATCAGGTAAGTGACACCGTAACCATTCGGGCTCAGCAACGGCTGATTAAGTGTAACCTGAGAAAGTGTCCAGGAATTCACTCTTTTACCACATATCCAGCATTGTTCGGGGTGGGGCGGGGCCTGGTGGGCCGGCAGGGGCTGATGTTGAGGTGTGTGAGGGGCTGAGTTGGGAGCTCAGTTATGAGTGAGCACGACCTGCGATCAGTGTTAAACAATCTTACTGATACTTTACAGAGGTATTCTAGTCATTATAATATATAATAATAATATATAAAATATATATAACGCTGTGATTATTGTGGTTTTCAGGTTAGACAGAAAATTACAGGATATAGTTTACAAGCTGGTACCCAACCTGGAGAGCAGTGAGTACCTCTTAGCTCATTGGGGTAACTGTGAAATCAGTTCATCCAGTCTCAGTGAGTGTGTCCCAGGGGGAGGGAGTGAGTGTGCACTGAGGAGACAAGGGTGCACTGCAGGGGAAGGGTGTGTACTAGGGGAGTGAGTATGCACCAGGGGGATGGGGGGAGTGTGCACTGGGGGGGGCGCATGAGTGTGCACTGGGTGGGGTGCACGAGTGTGCACTGGGGGGGTGCATGAGAGTGCACTGGGGGGTGCATGAGTGTGCGCTGGGGGGTGCATGAGTGTGCGCTGGGGGGTGCATGAGTGTGCACGGGGGGGAATGGGTGTGCACTAGGGGGAGTGCATGAGTGTGCACTGGGGGGGTGCATGAGTGTGAACTGGGGTCGGGGGGGCGTCGAGTGTGCAGCCCTGAGGATATCCTGCACCTTTCGAGTACCCATCATAATCTCTCAGTGTAACCCTCCGTGCCCCCGACTGGCCAGAGGGTTGAGGTGTAGGAAGAATAGTTCAGCGCTGTGGGATGTCCATTATTCCGGAGTGTGTGAGCGACCTGATTGCATGCTCTCTTCTCCCAATGGGAAAGTGATAATTAAATGCAATTTGTTGTTGCTGCTGCTGCTGCTCAGGTGAGAAGAAACGGCTGCTGGATTTCTACCGAGAAAGGGGACTGGAGGTGCCTAGACCTGGTGAGTTTACAGGGTTTAAACACACCCTCACACACATGCCCTCACACACAATCCCTCACACACACTCTCAAACCCACCCATGCACACACTCTCAAACAGACCCTCAATCTCACACACGCACCCTCACACACAGGAATGGGAACTAGTGGTTGGGCTGGCAAGTTACTGGGTTGAACTATGTGGGAGGGGGACATGTAACTGGCAGTGGGAGAAGGAGGCACATTGTGACTGGCAGTGGGCGGATGGGGGAGATGCCATGTGGGACTGTCAGTGGGAGGGGGAGACACCATGTGACTTGCAGTGGGGGCAGGGGAGGCAGATTCCATGTGACCAAAGGAGGCAATGAGAGGTACTTTGCTGCTCTCCAGGTTGGGCACCAGCTTGTCATTTTCTGTCCAATCTGAAAAATACAAAAATCACAGAATGACCACACATCCTCTGTAAAAATCCTCACTGAAACCTGGATCACTCCAGGCGACACCTTCCCCCTGACTGAGGCCACACCACCCGCCAAACCTTCCATCACACCCCTCGGCCTAACCGCCGTGGTGGCTCTCATCTCCCGGTCCCTGCTCGGCCTATCCCCTGACTCCTCTGGAACTTTCCCCTCCTTTGAGCACCTTACCCTTTATACCCTCCAAACTTTCCCTCAAAATTCTCCTCATCTACCGCCCCCCCCGCCACCCCACCTTCATCCCCAACATCTCCACCCTCCTGTCTTCCCTCACCCTTTGCTCTGAACACCTCCACATCCTCGGCGGTTTCAACCTTCACTTCACCCCCTCCTGCGTCTACCTCTGAATACTTTTCCTCCCTATCTCCTCCCTCAATCTCTCCCTCCACATCCACTCCACCATCCACACCCGCGTCACCCCCTCGACCTGGTGATCACTTGGGGCCTCACCGTCTCGGACCTCACCATCATCTCAGACCATCACTTTATCTCCCTTACCTCCTCAATCCCTCTCCCCACCGCCACCCAACCCAGCTCTATCTCATACCACCCCTGGAAAAAAAAAAAAACCCTCCCCCCACCTCCCTCTCGGCTACCCTGGAGTCATCTGAACCCCTTCCCGTCTGGGCGTCCTCCCGCAGTGATCTATCCTCCTCGGTCACCCTTCTCCACAGCTCCTTCTCCTCCACTCCAGATTCCCTCTCTTCCTGAATCGTCTCCTACTCACGCAAATCACCTTGGTAGACCAGCCACCTCCGCTCCCTGAAAGCCCAGGCATGCTCCGCTGAGCTCACCTGGCTTAAATCAAACCTAACTGTCCATCGGCAGATCTGGCTGGACCATGTCAAATCCTACCACTCCACCCTCGCCTCCGCTAAATCGTCGTTCTACTCCAAGACAATCTTGGAGGCTAAGGACAACACCAGGCTCCTCTTCTCATCACCAACTGGCTCCTCCGCCCACCCTCTCATGCCTCGCCCATCCTCACCTCAAATGCCAACTGCGAGGTGATGCTGGACTTACTCAAATCCAAAGTCGAGGGAATCCGCTCAGCTGCCTCTGCCACTGCAACTGCTACCTCCTCCCCATCTCCTCCTCCCACCCCACCCCCTACCCACCCCTCCTTCCACACCTTTGAACCTGTCTCCCCCTCCTCTCTCATCACCACCATAACCCGTATGAAACCCATCACCTGCTCCCTCGACCCCATCCCTCACCCCCTCCTTACCTCCCAGCTCCAGCTCCTTGTCCCTCTACTCACTGACATCATTAACCTCTCGCTGTCCTCTGGTACTGTTCCCACCCCATTAAAAACTGCCATTATCACTCCTATCCTTAGAAAACTCTCCCTGGACCCATCTCTACTCCCTAAGTACCGCCCCATCTCCAACCTCCACTTCCTCTCCAAGGTCCTGGAACAAGTTTTTGCTTCTCAGCTTCGCTCCTTCCACTCCCGCCTCTCCCCTCTCGAACTCCTCCAATCGGGTTTCCGTGCCGCCCACAGCACAGAAACTGGTCAAAGTGACAAATGATATTCTGTCCATCTGCGACCAGGGCTCCCTCTGCCTCCTCGTCCTCCTTGACCTCTCTGCTGCTTTCGAAACCGTCGACCACTCTATCCTCACTCACCGCCTCTCCTCTCACCTCAATCTCCACGGCGCTGTCCTTCATTCGTACCTCTCACATCGCCTGCACTTCATCTCCTCACACGGTTTCTCCTCCAGCCCCCGTACCTTCTTGTGCGGCATTCCTCAGGGCTCTGTCCTTGGTCCCCCCCTCTTCAACACCTATATGCTCCGTCTCGGTGACATCATCTGCAGACATGGTGTCAACTTCCACATGTATGCAGATGGCACCCACCTGTACCTCTGCCTCCACCCTTGACTCCAAGACCACTGCTGTCCTGACACAATGTCTGTCAAACATCAAGTCCTGGATGAGAGCTAACTTTCTTCAGTTGAACGTCAACAAGACCGAGGCTCCTGATTGGCTCCCGTCCGTGCCTCCTCATCTCAGGCGCTGACACCACCACCATCCATGGTTACACACTCTACCTTGCTAAGCCAGTCCAGAATCTTGGCGTCTTGTTTGACCCTCAACTATCCTTTCTACCCCACATCTGCGCCATGACCCGCTCTACCTTCCCCCACCTCCGAAATGTTGCCCGGCTCCGACACTGTCTCACACACGTCTTCATTACAACGAGGCTCGACCTCGCACTCACTGCTTGTCGGCCTTCCCAACTTCTCCCTTGCAGATCATCCAGAACTCTGCAGCCCATGTCCTCTCCTGCACTGGGCTCCGTGACCCTATCACCCCCATCCTTGCCCAACTCCACCGGCTTCCCATCATACGGAGGATACAGTTCAAGATCTTGGTTCTCACCTTCAAAGCCCTCCATGGTCTTGCTCCCCCCTACCTCTCTGACCTCCTAAACTCCTTCTGATGTGAAAGGCACTTTGCACATGTCATTTTATTGTTGTTGTTACCTTTGCCTAAGTGCAAAATGCAAAGAAGGGAGTTTTTCCCAGTGTCCTGTCCAACAATCCTCCAAATAAAAAAAGTGTAATTCACTTCCTGACGGTTTATGAGATATTGCTGTGTGAAATTGGCTGCCACATTTGCTTTCGATCTCCCTGCTTTCCCCCTACCCTCCACCCTCTCTTACCCCCAGCTCTGGTCCATAACCTTGTATGTTCAGCGCCTTGGGACGTCCTCCCGACGTGAAAGGGGCTTTACACATGTAATTTTGTTGTTGTTGTAAAGTATCAGTGAGATTGTTTAACACTGATGTGCATCTCAGTGTTAGTGCGTGTGTGGCAGTGTTGGTGCTGTGTGTTTTGGTGCTGTGTGTTACAGTCGTGTTGCCTTGTGTTACTGTGTTGGTGCTGTGCGTTACAGTGCTGGTGCTGCCTGACAAGGGGAAGATGAGGAGGGCTCAGTCTCAGTCGCTCAGTAAGAAGCTGGTGCCGGTGCTGCCGCTGGAGGACGTGGCGTCTGACTTGGACATCTGCCTGGTGCTGGAGTTCATCGGGTGAGTGTGTGCACAGCTCAGGAGCTGCGATTCCTGATCAAAAATCCCCACTTGTCCTGACTTTACACCTTCACCAGATGGCAGCAGAGCCACGAGCTCCACACTGCGTCCGGCACAGTGATGAGAGGGCAGCCGCGGGGCTGATAGCATGTGGCCTGTATGTGTTTAGCGGTTGACTCTGTGGGCACTGTGGAGACAACAACAACTTGCCTTTATATAGCGCCTTTCACACAAGGGTAGCAACCCGGAGCCCTGTCCTGGGCCAGAGTGGATTACAACGTATATTTAAGTAAAGAGTAAATGAGGTTGTCAGACTGGCTCAGTTGGTCACACTCTTCTTTCTGGGTCAAACGATTGTGGGTTCAAGTCCCATATCTGGGTTTGAGCTGAGACCCCAGCGTAGTACTGAGGGTGTGCTGCATTCTCAGAGGAAAAGATGTTAATCATGGAGTCCTGTATCTTAGTGGTTAAAGCACTCACCTCGCAAGTGAGAGGGCGAAATGTTGGACAAGTTTCCTTACTCCACATGCTTCTGTTTACCTAGCAGTAAGTAGGAATCTAGTTGTTAGTTGATGTCTCGAAAACATGATAAGGCTTAGTATCAAATGCGAGGATTACTGTTATTATTATTTTGGCCAACAATCCAGGTGACTTGGTCATTCACCCCATGGCTGTGTGAGGGATATTTCATTACATTTGATATAGCGTCTTATCACGTCTTCAAAACATCTCAAAGTGCTTCACAGAGTATACAGAGTGAATTGACTGTATATTTGTGGGCAAAGCATGGCAGCCAATTGCGCACAGCAGCGTCCAACAAACAGTCGTGGATTGAGTGAACGAATTATTATTTATTTTGAAGGAATTATTATCCCCGGAAAAGTGATCCACCAATCAACTAACAACCTGGTTCCTACTTCCTGCCAGATAAACAGAGGCACGTAGAGTAAGGAAACTTGCCCAACGTTTCGCCCTGTCTGGGAATCAATCCCAGATCCTCTTGCTTGTGAGGCGAATGCTTCAACTACTAAGCTACAGGACTCCACATTTCATACTGTTAGCACTGTTGACAACAATTAGCTGTGAAGCGCTAAGACGTTTGAGAATTATAAAATAATAATAATCCTTGCATTTGACATAGCGCTTTCCACGTCTTCTCGAAGTCTCAAAGCGCTTCACAGAACAATAATAATAATAATAATAATCCTGGCATTTGATATAGCGCTTTTCACGTCGGGAGGACGTCCCAAAGCGCTTCACAGAACACTGTAAAGTGAATTGACTGTGTATTTGTGCGCGAACGCGGCAGCCAATTGCGCACAGCAATGTCCCACAAACAGTCGTAGATTGAAAATGACCAATTTATTATTGTTTTTGGTTTTGGAGGGATTATTATTAGGCTCTGTGTGGAGTAAGGAAACTTGCCCGAGGTTTCGCCCTCTGTCTGGAGTTGAACCCAGGTGTCTCGCTTGCAAAGCGAGTGCTCTAACCACTGAGCTACAGGACTCCTCCAATTCTAAGCATTATATTAAATGAAGGGATTATAGATTATGTGTTTGCTGGGGTGACAGCTGTTCGTGGCTGGGATCTGTGTTACTAAGTCTTTAAGGAGTAGAGCCACCACCTGCTCACCTCTTAGCAGGAGCTGGTGGGTAATCACACTGCAGAGACTGACTGCTCCCCTAGGAAATCTGAGTTTAAATCAGTCTGGCTTGTTGTCCTGCCCTTTGTTGAAGAAGGTACTCTGTCATGTTTCGCCCACAAAATATACAGTCAATTCACTTTACAATATATCCTGTGAAGCTCTTTGAGGCGTCTCAATGGGGAGATAAGGTGCTATATCAAATGCCACGATTATTATTATGTGGATCTCCCTCAGTGAGCCTGGCTTGTGGCAGGTTGGGATCAACAACAACAGCAACAACAAAATTACATTGATGAGTGCCTTTCACGTCGGGCAGGGCAGGCTGGATACCATAATCTCTTGACTACCCCCCTCCACTCGCTCCTATGGTCACCCCCCTCACCCCCTTCTCCCGTGTTCAACCCTGCCACTATGCAGGGCCGCAAGACATTGTCCTGTGTGAAGATATCAATACAAGTTGTGGTTGTTTTGCTATAATGTCTGTATCTGGGGAAGGCTGTGCCACAAAGACGTATGTGACAGATTAAAGAACAAATGGCAGAATTGAGACACACTGTGTCAGAGCTGGAGAGGAAGAACTGAAAAGGTTAGAGGGAAAGAGCAGGGATTTGGGAGGAACTAGCATTAGTTGAGGCTGGGTGAGCAAATGGCTTCTTGTTTCTATAAGGTCCATCATTTACTTGTAAGAATTTCCTTACTAGGGTCAAACCTGTCTTCCATGTTATTCGTGAAATGGGTCAGTTTCCTGCCCCTTCTGTTTCCTCGAACATCAATAGTGACTCGTTGATCTTAGCCTCTGGTTAGCAGGTTACCAGTGCGGCGTGTGGCCTGGCGGTGGGTGACAAGTGGGAACGGGTGGAGATCTCACATTGCTGTATTAACATCATTGACTTCAACATGGAGAACGATCTGGGGGGTGGGAGAGGGAGGGGAAACGTGATTAACATCACAAAGACTGGCAAATGTAATCCTATTGCTTCTGAATGTCACCAACCCACTTGCGGCAATGTCCTCCCTCTGAAGCGTGCTGGCTGCAGTGCCTATCATGCACACACCTGTTTAGCAGACAGAGAGTGCACACTTACACCCCACCCCACCCCGGGCATTGCTGAGTGGGGCATCAAAAGCCAGAGCCAAGAATAGCCTGTTTTCTGTGGGGGTGACGGAACGCTGAGTGAGGAGCTTAGCCCCTTGTTATTGTCATCTGCTCACACGTTGCTGTGAGGAAAGGAAGGGATAGAGCCAGGCCACATGATTGGCTGTTTGAGTATGTGTTTAAATCAGCGGCGATAGGAACAGACTCGATTTGATTAGTTCTGAAAGGCATCTTTGCTTGAAAATTATTTGTCAGAAGCCGTGAGTCTCTGAGGGACTGCTTGAGGTGGAGTGTCCAGAGATAGTTTGGGATTAAAGCCACTCAGTCCCACACAATGATGTGGTCAGGGCTGCCTGGGGTTGTACCCTCTAACCATAAGCCACTTTCTGAGTTCTCTCGGTGAAAGTCACAAGTGTCCGGAGATACAAGTGAGGATCTGGGTCAGGGAGGGGGTGGGGTCACAGGGTAACGTGTTTAATGATTGCAGTGTAATCGTTGATTGTTCTCTTTGCAGAGCTGACCTGGGAGTTGGAAATTACAAGGTTGGTGTGTTTACAATGAAAATAAAAGTGCATTGGCTACAGTGACCGTGTCACCATTGGCTGTAGTGACTGTGTCACCATTGGCTACAGTGACTGTGTCACCATTGGCTGTAGTGACTGTGTCACCATTGGCTACAGTGACCGTGTCACCATTGGCTGTAGTGACTGTGTCACCATTGGCTGTAGTGACTGTGTCACCATTGGCTACAGTGACTGTGTCACCTTTGCTGTAGTGACTGTGTCACCATTGGCTGTAGTGACTGTGTCACCATTGGCTACAGTGACCGTGTCACTATTGGCTACAGTGACCGTGTCACCATTGGCTACAGTGACCGTGTCACCATTGGCTGTAGTGACTGTGTCACCATTGGCTGTAGTGACTGTGTCACCATTGGCTACAGTGACCGTGTCACCATTGGCTACAGTGACTGTGTCACTATTGGCTACAGTGACTGTCACTATTGGCTACAGTGACTGTGTCACCATTGGCTATAGTGACTGTGTCACGTGGACTGAGTTCAGTTCCATACACAACCCCCGCTTCCCTCCCCCGCCTCAGAAGATAGTCACTAGTTGTTCATTTGACACCTGACAAGCTCGGGTTTGAGTCCTCACTAGGTGGATGGTAGGTACCAGGAACTCCTTGTGAGCTTCCTGGTAGGCAACACAGCTCAGCATAAATGCATGAGACCATTGCCACCATCTTCTTGTCCACAGCTTGGGCACACGTCCCTTCCCACTGAGCGATGGTTCAAGCAGTAGGAGGTGTGGAGCTTGAGTAGCAGCTGCTCACCTCTCTGATCGCCAATCCAGGTGGATTCCAGGCGCTGGACGTACATGTGTATGTGTGTCACATCGTGCCTTCCAGCAGCTGTCGCCCGAGACTCCTAGAGATTCCTCAATGACATCCGCCATGAACATGGTACGAGGATGTTTGCAGGACAGTTGGTCACACCGTTTAATCCCCTGCGGTAATAAATTACAGTGAAGGCCAGAGTTCAGGACGCTGCCCGTCACAACAAGCATTAAGGTAGGGACATTGTGTTGCCTCTTTCACAGCCATGGCTGATCATTGTTTGTTCGTTTTGCAGCCGCTGCAGAAGAAGTTTGTGCGAGTGTCTGGAGAGGCCACGGTGCGACACGTGGAGAAGTTCATCCGGAAGAAGCTGGAATTGGAGCCAGTCTGTCAGGTGGGGAAGAGTCTTCACAGGAACAGTGAGGAGATCACTTAGCTGAGAGGCTTCAGCACAAGTGCTTCCAAAAAATATAAGTGTAGGTGATGTACATACAGTATGTGGAACAGTCAGTCTGGTTTGGATATTCTTAACCATGGTGATGGGTTTTCACATTTTGGTTGATTTAAAAAAAACTAGAGCCTATATACATTGGGGGTCTGGGAAGGTGTTCAATCAGCAGCGGTAGTGATTGCTCAGAGGAAACAACAACAACTTGCATTTATATCGCACCCTTAGTGACGTGTTTCACTCCAACCCCTGTGACTGTCACTGCCCCCTCCCTGTGAGAGTCTATCTAGTGTAGCAGTTGAAGCAACAAGACCAGAAACAATCTGATAGGCTGGCCTCAGGAATGGCCTCGGCCTGTGCTGTGCTGTTGGGAGTGAGGGAGGGAGGTGCATGAAGGAGTGGATGTCAGTGTCACAGCATCAGTATTGAGGAGCAGGTTCTGGGTTACTGTAACTGTCATCTTAATTAAATATGAAACCAGGAGCTGAGCGTCAGCAAAACCATGTGCCGACGCGCCCCCCCCCCCCCACCCCGCTCACCACACCCAAAATGTGGTGCATTTACAAACAGGAAGAGAGAGGAGCAGTGGGGAGGATTTTAATTGTTAGGTGAGGTTGTGGATGCATTGATGGCTGGAGCCCTAGGATCTGCTCTGTGTTCACAGTCGTGCTGTTTATAATTGGGATGGGCTTCCTGCCTCCCTCTGCTGTTTCCTGTGGGACAGCAACACTTAGTAATTGCCTTTCCACCTGCTCCCTGGCACTTACATGGTAAACAACCCGCTACACTGACTGATGCCTCATGGACTAAGTTCAGTCAGCGAATGGTCGGCAAAGCTAATCAAACACCCGGTGACATGCTGAGGAAATGCGAGTCACCGCAAGTCTACATGTCTCCCGATAACCGAGCGTAGATAACTGTCAGGCCGAGATCCACTCCATGGTTCCCTGAGGCTCCAGACCAGTTAATAATGCTCATTGTGTCTGAAGTTATTCAAAGTGAAGATTAAAATTATCCACAGTGACCGAGAAGGACTGAGCGCTGTGCTTGGAGCACTAAACAGCACCAAGCTGCCAGCACAACCTTCACACCGAGTGACACTGACACAACGTTTAACGGGAACGTGGTTTATACTGAGGATAAAACAAACCGTGAGGGTTTCATCTGAACTCTGTGTGTGTGTGTTTGTTTGTGTCACAGGCTGGTCCTCCACATACGCCCCAAATCTCCCAATCCTTCCGATTTGGCCCGTTCCCCCATTGTCAGATCGTGCTTCCTCTGGCTCAACGTCGTTCTCCACCACTGTCAAGTGCTCTAAGGTGCTACCTCGAGTGAGAGGCACTGTGTATATGTTGTTGTGTCAGTAGGAGCTGATGGCTGCACAACCAAATCATCTGAAACAGTTGTAACCTATTCCCTTTGATTGACAGGTGGACATCATCTGTGGGAACAAAATCCTGGAGCAACACGAGACATTGAGGCACATCAGGAGCAACGTGGCCCACAGCAGCATTAGGGTGAGTATCTCCATCACTTTACAGCAGTGCATGGGAGCCGTAACATGGGGCTGTGGTGTAAGGGAAGCAGTAACATGGGGTTGGGGGTTATATTCGGGATGGATAGGGGTCAAGGGGAGGTGCAATAGAAGGGGGAAGGTGACAGAGGAAGGTGTTGGCATGGACTTTGAAAGAGTTGAGAGAGGGGGAGAGGTCATAAAGAAAGAGGCAAATTGACCTATTGTTTCTGTGCCGGTGCTTCCCCATCCCCCGGCTCTCTCTCTCCTTCTCCACTCTCCCTCTCTGCTCAGTTTCTCTCTGTCTCTCTCCACTCTCTGGCACCTCTCCCCCTCCTCTCTCCAATCTGCCTCTCTCTCCGTGCGCACACATGCCTGGTTCTTTAGGCTGCAATTGATTTTCCGTCATTAGTGAATCCAATTCTATTTGTATGAGTTTACTGGAGGCTTTGACTTGCTGAATGGCCCTCAGGGACCTTCGGGCAGGCAGGGCTCTGAAAAAACATGAGGAAATGTACTGCACTGTCACTGAGCAACAGCACACTCAGCACATGGGAACAACACACAGCGCGCACACAACACACAGCGCGCACACAACACAGCGCACGCACACAGTGCACTCACACAACACAGAGCGCACTCACACATCGCAGAGCGCGCACGCACACAACACATAGCACATTCACAGTGCACACACACAAACTACATGTTGTGTAGAGTACAGATTGTTGTTTTGGTTGCAGGATGGTTTGCTTATCCTGCATTATGGACTGGTGCGAGCCCACAAGTGACCGCTCACCAGGAGATAGAATGGAGAGCATTGGGCCTGTCCTGCAGCTAACTGCACGGAGTGGGACACCTTGTTGCTGGCGTTCTCCTCTCCGAGCTGGAGCTCGTTCTCTGAGGTAACTGCACACTGCTTTAGCCTGAGCTCTGCACATGGGAGGCTGAATATCGCTTGTGCTCAGCCATTTTGCACTTGTGTGTGTGGCATTGTAACACTTCAGGTACATGGATTAAGTGTATTCTCTGCCCCACTCCATGCTCTCTTCCTGTCCTGTACATTGTTAAGCGGCTGACAGTGAGTCCTGCTGACCTTCAATTGTACTGTAGGTAATGCAAACTATTTGTGTACTAAACACTATGAGCTGTAACCTCTTCTGGACCTGGAGAACCATCCTGGAGTCACTGATCACATTGTCACTAACCGGCTGTGATACCACTTCCTGTCACTGATCAGCTCCGCCAGTGCCTGACGGAGCTAATGCTCAGACCTATTGCCTTTGCTAGTTTTCTACACTGTTCGGGAGACTTTATAAAACATAATTTTTCACAAGTTTGTAAAATTCTTTGATTAACTAAAAAAGCCATTGTTTTGTTAACTGTACAAAATATGAAAGTAAAGTTTTATTTTGAAGGAAAAGCTGTTTGCTTTTGTATTGGTGTCAATCTACTGAATCTTTTGTTGCAGTTGCTTGTTTCTCTGAGGGCCGCTTGGTGCTGTGCAGGGTGGTGCTGCTGTGAGCAGTGATAATAATAATCCTTGCATTTGACACAGCACCTTATCATGTCTTAGAGTCGTCTCAGAGTGCTTCAGAGAATACACTGTATATTTTGCAGGCGAAACGCAGCAGCCAATTGTGCACAGCAACATCCCACAAAAGTGGATTGTGTGACCAAATTATTATTTAAAATTCTTTTTGAAAAGCCTTCCACCAATCAACTAACCAGGTTCCTACTTTCTGCTAGGTGAACAGAGGCGCCTGGATTAAGGAAACATGCCCAAAATTTCACCCTGCCCGGGAGTCAAAGCCAGGTCCACTCGCTTGCGAGGCGAGTGCTCTAACCACTGAGCTACAAGACTCCACTGTAATGTGACCAGTCTTCCTGCTCTTCCAGGACATGTCTGCTTCACTGACAGTTTACACCGCTTAGAGTCCACGGTTCTGCTTTCTCTGCTGTGTAATTGTTGTCAGTGCTGTATATGTGGTGTTTTGGCAGATTGAGAACATGGGCTGTGGAGCTCCACATGCTGTGTGAGCTGCTCTCACAGCGAGTCTGTGCCTAACACTGTTATACACACTCGGTCAATAGTAATTCTGCCAGAAATATGTCTCTACTTTGTATGACCAGGAACGTTCACTTGAGAAATGGGGTAAAATTCAAATGCCAAACCTGTCCGACCTCTGAGAGCTGCTGTCAAACACTAGCCTCATGAGAGCAGACTACATGTGCTTGGAGCAATTGGTGAAGCCCATGGGTGGGGGAGAGTAATTTCCTCCGCGCATGGAAACAGCTGGAATTTAGTGTATGTGCGCGTGCTTCTCTGGGTAGATAGAATTAGTGTGATGGGGTCCCTGGGTCAGTGATAAGAGCATAAAGTGAGTGAATTGTTATTTAGTTGGTTATTTGTTTTCACACAGCAGGAAATGAAGGACCAGCTTATGTAGGCTTGTTGGCCAGGACATGAGGAGAAACTCCCTTCTCTTTGCCAATAGTGACTCCTGCTCTTTAACATCCACCTGAACAGGCAGACAGACGAGGAGAGTGCATGTTACCCAGTTATTCTCTGATGCTGGTGTGGTTCAGAGGGTAAGAGATTCACAGCTGGTGGGAGGTTCAGTTTACAGCATTTTATGTAACACTAAACACAATGCTAGAGAACTATTTATTAATAGTAATAATAAATTATTAGCAGTGGGAATCCAGGCATCAGTAAATCCTGGTTACACATCTACACAACATCATCATCTCTCGCAGGGCCTCAGAGTTAAGCCCTCAGTGGGCGGTGGAGGGGAGCCAGAACAACACTGATCTTTGGGGACCCACTTGGTGTCGGTGTGTTGGCGGCTGGAAGTCAGCCCCTCCGGGAGGGAGAGACACCAATCTCCTCAGTGCCGCTGCCAGCACTGATACTCTGCACTTGGCCCAGGAACAACAACAACAACAACAACACATTGCACCTATTTAGCACCATGATGGGAGGCTGTCCCATGGCGGCCAGGTTTGTTCACTACATGTGGGGAGAAGGGAAGTACTGAGACCTATTTGGTGGCATTGCTTTTTTCTGCTCTGAGAGTGTTGTTCGGCTCTGCTTTCTCCACCTTCTTTGTGGAGATGATGGTTTCCTCTATGATCTCCTCGTAGGCCTCGCCTCTGGGTTTGGCCGGTTTAGGCGCTGGTTTAGGCGGCAAATCCTTCTCCTTGCCGGCTAAGCTGTGGGACGAGGGGGGGCTGGTGTTGGGGAGTGTCTGGGGCAGCGAGTGGAGGTCGGGAGGAAGCGAGTTGACCAGCGGGAGGCTGGGGCCAGTGTTGAACCTCGTCTCCTCTCCTTCCAGCAGCTTCCTGAAAAGAGAGCATTGATGTGGTCACAGGCCGGGGGCAGGACACGCACGCGGATTGGCTACACTCACCTGTAAGCAGCAATCTCGATGTCTAAAGCCATCTTCACATTGAGCAAGTCCTGGTACTCGCGCAGGTGTCTAGCCATCTCAGTCTTGGTGGTCCTCAGCTCAGCCTCCAGCTCCGCAATGTTGTCCTGAAGGAATATTCCAAACCAGAGAGAGTCTGTACCAGAAACATCAGCCACATCCTTCCTCTCAGTAAAGCCATCCGTGGAGCACGAAAGCCACACACTGTATCAGGTGGAAGTCCAGCATGTTTACTGCACTCCTCCCCACGGGGCGTTTTAGCCATCCAGGACAACTGTCACATTCCATCTGATCTGTGCCTCAACTCCAATTACCTGCCGTTGCCCCATATCTCTTGATCCTCTGACCTAACAAACATCTATCCACCTCACTCTGGACAATGTGAATGGATCCAGTATCAGGGGAAGAGAGTTCCAGATTCCCACTACCCTTTGGATGGAAAAACTGCCTCCTGATTTCACTCCGAAATGGCTCAGCTGTAATTTTAAGATGATGTCCCCTTATTCTGGATCCCCCACCAAAGGAAATAATTTATCTGTAGCAAAACCCGACCGAATCCCTTTATTATTGTAAACACCTCCAGTGATCACCTTCCAACTGCAAGGAAATAGAGACAAAGTTTGTCAGATTAGGTTTCAAAAGCTTCACTCCCTCCAAGTGACCAGAAACCAGCGGTGAGTGACAGGAACTCTGGAAATGGCGCTCACAATTCAGCACTGGACAGCGACACAGCACATGGCCAGACTCGGCCTGGACCGGGCAGCGAGGGCTGGGGGTGTAGTGACTGTGTGTCACTGCGTCTCCAGCCCTGAGCTGGGGGTGTAGTGACTGTGTTAGTGTCTGTAACCCTGACCGGTGTAGAGGGCGCTGAGCTGAGCTGAGCTGCTGTGTGTAAGCGGTCAGTCCGCGGTGATGTACCTGATAGGCGCCTCTCTCGGCGCTGTGCCTCTCCTCCATGTCCTCGAGCTGCCGCTCCAGGGACAGACCGGCGCCGCGCACCGACTCCACCTCGATGCTGCGCGCCTGGAGCTGCCGCCGGTACTCGCTCAGCTCCTCCCGGTTGGCTCTCAGAGCCTCGCAGTGTCTGGCGGCCGCCGCGCTCATGTCGGAGAACTTGTCGCGATACCAGTCGTCGGCGGCCTGGGCGTTGCGGGCGGCGAGACTCTCGTACTCGGTGCGGATGTCCCGGAGCGCGGCCGTCAGGTCCGGTTTAGCCGCGGCGGCCGCGTCCGCCTCCACCGCCCCGGCCGCCGCCTGCGCCGCCGCCTCCAGCTCCCGCACCTCCTCCCGGTGCAGCCGCTCCACCAGGCCCAGCTCCTCCAGCACAGCCTCGGCCTTGCGCTCCAGCTCCAGCCGCGCTAACGTGGCCGCCTCCAGCTCCTTCCTGCAGCCCCGCAGCGCGGCCTCGGCCTCCTCCCGGCGCCGCAGCTCCAGCTCCAGCCGCCCCTGCAGGACCTGCAGCTCCTCCTCCAGCCCGTCCCGCTCCAGCAGCGCCTGCGAGCGCTCGTGGCCCAGCGCCGCCAGCCGACCCCGCAGCTCCCGCAGCTCGGCCTGATACAGCGCGGCCCGGCCCCGCGGCTCCGCCTGGCGCTGCCGGAGCAGCAGCAGCTCGGCCTCCAGGCGCCGGTTCCGCTGCTCGAGGCTGTGAACCGTCTCGATGTAACCGGCGAAGCGGTCGTTCAGGCCCTGGAGCTGCTCCTTCTCGCTCGTGCGGCTCAGGCGGAGCTGATCCACGGCGGCGGCGCTGGTCAGGAGCGGGGTCTCCGGGCCCGGCCCCGCGCCCCGGCTCCGGTACGATGGGAGCCGCGAGGCCGAGTGTGACCGGTACCCGCCGCTCGGGCGCGAGTCACCGCCATAAACCCTCCGATAGGAACCGCTGAAGCTCATAGTGAAGGTCTGTGGGGCCGTGTGGGGCGGCGGAGCCTTATATACACCGGGCGGCCAGACCCCGCCCCCGACACTCCGGCCCCGCCCCCGACACTCCGGCCCCGCCCCGACACTCCGGCCCCGCCCCGACACCCCGCCCCCCCACACCCCGCCCCCCCGACACTCCGGCCCCGCCTCCGACACTCCGGCCCCGCCCCGACACTCCGGCCCCGCCCCCGACACTCCGGCCCCGCCCCCACCCCGCCCCCACACTCCGGCCCCGCCCCTCACACTCCGGCCCGCCCCCGACACTCCGGCTCCGCCCCGACACTCCGGCCCCGCCCCCACACCTCCGGCCCCGCCCCCGACACTCCGGCTCCTCCCCCCGACACTCCGGCTCCTCCCACCGACACTCCGGCTCCTCCCCTGACACTCCGGCTCCTCGCCCGACACTCCGGCTCCCCCCCGACACTCCGGCTCCCCCCCCGACACTCCGGCTCCTCGCCTCCGACACTCCGGCTCCTCCCCCCCGACACTCCGGCCCCGACCTCTCCCTACACTCCGGCTCCCCCCCGACACTCCGGCTCCTCCCCCGACACTCCGGCTCCCGCACCCCACACCTCCGGCTCCTCCCCCCGACACTCCGGCTCCTCCCCCGACACTCCGGCCCCCCCCCACACTCGGCTCCTCGCACCCCCGACACTCTGGCTCCTCGCCCCCGACACTCCGGCCCCTCCTCCCCGACACTCCGGCTCCCCCCCTGACACTCTGGCTCCTCCCCCTGACACTCTGGCTCCTCCCCCTGACACTCTGGCTCCTCCCCCGACACTCCGGCTCCTCCCCCTGACACCCCGGCTCCTCCCCCCTGACACTCCGGCTCCTCCCCCTGACTGGCAGAGAGGTAAGCAGCTGCTGCCTAAACTCCACACCTTCAAATGGTGGAATCAGCGCTCAATGAGAAGGAACGTGTGCCCGAGCTATGGACATGGAAATGTTGGCAATGCTCTCACACATTCCATGCTGAGCTGTGTTGCCCACCAGGACACTTATATGGATTTCTTGGTTTACTGAGCATTACATAATGAGGGCTCAAACCTGCGCTTGTGGATGTCAACCAACCAACTAGTGACCATCCGCCCAGAGTGGAGGTAAGCAGGGTCTCCTTGGAGCTGAACTGGTGATGGAATCGGCCAGCACTCTGTGATTGTCTCCAGTCTGGTTCCTGACCCAGGCGGGTCCGCAGGTATCAGTACCAGGGAATGATGACAGCACAGCCTGGCTCATCGATAGGACTTGGAAGGGCCGACCAATCACTGGAGGCAGGGAATCCTCCCACTCAGCTCCTAATAACCCTGCAAATGAAAGCCCTAATAGGTAGGGTGGTCCTAACTGGACAAGTAGTGGGAAAGCTTGCCAGACAGTGATATCAATGGTAAGCTATGTAGTTTTAGCTGATTAGATTCCACCAGTTCTGTCAATGCGCACTCTGGAGTCCCCCAAGCCATGGAACAAATTGCATTTTTTTTGATATTTTTTTAAACAACAAATTGTAATTAAAATGTTTATTTTTATACAACAAAAAATTGCATGTATATAGTGCAATACATTTGAGGACGTCCCAAGGAGCCGGACATCCACCTGAACAGGCACAGACAGGGAAGATTTAACGCCTCTCCTCGAGGCCAAGGCCGAGCCCCTCGGCCACTGCCAATGAGGTCGGCTGTGGCGGAGTGGATAAGGCTGAGGTGTAATGTTTCGTTGCTGGTTCTCATGTACAACAACAACAACAAGATTCCATTTATTGAGCGCCTTTCACGTCGGGAGGACGTCCCGAGGCACTGTACAGTTGGTCAGGACCCGAGCATTGGGGGGAAATGTCAGGGGGAGGGGGGGGCGAGGGGGATGGCAGGAGGGGGGGGGGGGAGGAGGGGGGAGAGAGTCGAGAGAAGAGCTGAAGGCTTTGTAGTTTGTGGGTTTTATTGCAATTGATAATTAAATAACTGTGTAATGAGCTTTACACTGTGACACTATACTCAGGCGGTAACCTGTGAAGCGCTTTGAGACGCCTCTCAATCATAAGGCGCGACATCCGATACAAAGATTATTATTATATACTGGGTTGGCGGCGCAGGCCAGTGCAGGAGGGTGGCGGCGCAGGCGCAGTGCGGGGGCTGGCGCGGAGCGGCGAGCGAGTGGCGGCGGAGCGGTGCGGGGCTGGCGGCGGAGCGGCGCAGGCGCAGTGCGGGGGCTGGCGGCGGGACGGCGCAGGCGCAGTGCGGGGGCTGGCGGCGGGAGCGGCGCAGGCGCAGTGCGGGGGCTGGCGGCGGGAGCGGCGCAGGCGCAGTGCGGGGGCTGGCGGCGGGAGCGGCGCAGGCGCAGTGCGGGGGCTGGCGGCGGGAGCGGCGCAGGCGC